GGGGACGGTGCTGCTGACGGTGGCGAGGACACCGTCAGCCATCTGAACACCTGACCGGACGGCCCCCCGGTCTCTCGCGGGGAGTTGGGCGGGGAGATGGTGAGGTCCCCGCTGCTGGAGCATGCATCTAGAGCACGACGGATAAAATCGAATACCATCGATTCGATGGGATTTTGACGACTCTTTGTAAATCGCTTCCAGTGTGCAAGGGCCTACCGAGCGGCGTGTCAGTGGAGGCGGACACGGCCCCGCGGAGGTCGGAGAAGATGTCCCGGCCGTCCATGGCCGTGGTCTGCTGCCCGCCACTTTGCTAGGAGAGAGCTCTGCGTTACCAGCCGCAGGGCCACTGGAGACGGCGTATCTCGGTCGGTACTCACCGGCGTCGAGTTGCTCCGCCCGTAGCTCTTGCCGCCCTTGGTGAGCAGGATGAGGTTGCTGAAGTCGACGCCGCCGCCGCCCGCCGCGCGCCGCCGGCCGCCGCCCCCCGCACCGGAGAACGCCTGCTGCGCCTGCTCAGACTGCTGGGCGTAGAACTCAGCCGGCCGCTGGTACACAGGAATGGGTAAGCTCATGTCGTCACGAGGGCGCGCAGGCACGGACTGCAAGTAGAGATGTAAATTTTCAAAAAAATATAGATTTGATGAAATTTTTCATGAAAAACTTCGCAAAACTTTCCTTAGGGAAAAGTAAGTGATTTTCAGTGTCTTTTTCTCTGAATTTATCAATTAAACTTTCCTATTTTTCACTGAAAAATTTCAGGCTCTACATCTCTAGCTGCAAGCCAGAGAGGGTGGGGCGGGCGCTGTCGTGGGCCAGCGGTGGGTGAGGCACTAACGTACTTGCGCCTTGCTTTTGCCCGCGCGTTGGCCCTGCTTGGCCTTGGTGGGGGTCGGTGACGTCCTCCCGGAGCGCACAGGGCCAGGGCTAGAGCAGGGACTTGGAGCGGCCGCCTGAGGTGGTGTGGACGGCGGCACGGGCGGTCCGGGTGGCGGGGGCACTGCCGTCGAGGGTGGCGCCGGGGGCGGCGCCGGAGGCGGTGGCGTCAGCCAGCACAAGGGTGTCGGCGACACGACCAGAACCCCTACGCGGCACAAGCAGCCGTTAGTCGACGGCGGTCAGTCGACACCAAAAAGGCGCCTCTGCCCCGGGGCCGGGGGCTACACGGACCCAGCTGCTCCAGGGCGGACGGCCGCTGCTCTGCGGGCTGCTGGTGCTGCTGCTGCTGCTGCTGCTGCTTGGCGTGCCCCGAGAAGCGACCTGCGTGCCCGTGTCGGTACGGGAACAAGTCCTCCTGGTAGGCGGCCTCCGTCGAGAAGCACCCTAGGCCACTGCCGACCACCTTGGTGTTGACGGATAGTGGCAGTGACAGGGACCCTCGCGCATGGCCGAAGGTGGACCCGAACATCTGGAGGTCGCCGAGGGGTGCGGGAGATGCAGGGGGTGGTTCCTTGGGGAAGAACTCGGGGACCTCGGCGTTTAGTGTGGGCGGCGGCCGCTGCAGGTCGACCTGCGGGAGGAGGGACCGCACTTAGCATGCCAATCATATGTTTTTATCGAGATCATAAAGTTCTGCTTGTAGAAAGTATACCTGGAACGGCAAATGTCTTTGAAAGGTCAGCCGTCGGCTAGCCTCCCCTCTCTGCTGCTCGGCGCCGACGGTCTTCCCCGCACCGAACTGGGTGGCATTGGAGGCACTCCTGCCCCAGAGGTGTTGCACGCCCGTGGCACCGGCACCAACCCGCGCGTTCGCCGCGCTCTCTTCTGTGCGCGCCTGGCGGCCGGTACGGGTTACCTCGCGTGCGGTCTATCACCACGCCCAAACAGTGACGCATGGCTCGATCGTAGAGTTTCTTACCAATGTTGGCTTTGGCCGAGCGTCACCATTCTGTTTAGGACACTGAATGAGCAGCTGGAAAGGGTTCTGCGGCTGAGTTCCCGACGACTGCTGAATCTGTTGATCAGGTAACCGGTGACGCCGCCTTGAAGCGCCTGCATGTGGGGACGAAGCGCTTTACTCGAGGGAAGTCCCTGGCGGAGCGGGTGCAGAGCGCCGTTAGCCGCCAGCAGCCACTGACCTACGGTGTTGCAGCGGACCGCGGTGTCGCGCTGGGCCACCGTCACATTTTGCCAACTTGGGTAGAACTCTCCCACAGGCTGCGGTTGCTGTATTTTTCTAAAACCATTCAAATTTACCGATCGTTACCAAACTATAACACTATGCGCTATCCTGGATGGCACTGGGAAAAGACCTCCCAGCCGAGGCGGAGACAGTTTTGGCCCCATATCAAACACGATAACTCCTAAGAGCTGGCCTCTGCGGAGAGGCGTTTCCTGAGCGCGCCGCGCATCTTACCGGCCGCTGTTGTCGCTCCCAACGATGCTGCGCAGCGCGTCCCGCACGCCGGGCAGCATCCATGGCTCGGAGTTGTCCTCCTTGGTCAGCAGGCCGCCGAAGTCGTCGGAGGCCGCCGACGTCGGCTGTTCGTCGGCGTACAGCCGCTCCCGGTCCTCGTCGTACGCACAGTTGACGTACCTGGCCAGCCGACTCTGCGGGATCGTGTCCCGGACAGTCCGGCGCCACCTCCTGGACATCAAGGTCGTCATTCTCGTTGCCCGGGGCGCAGCCACCACCACGGGACCGAGCCAGAGGCGCGACGGACAGACCTCGAGTCATCCAGGACATGACCATGGACATGGGGCGGGCCACCGCTGGAGTTCATCGGAGCGCCCCGCGGGAAGTCGCCAGCCCACTGCAGGTCGTGCTGGCCGCGCTCGTCAACGGGACCCGGGCGCACCGGGGCCGCGGCTGCTCATGCTGCCCAAACGAGCTAGAGCTGCGCTAGACCTAGAGGCTAGGCAGGCGAGGCTACAGGCCACCTCGCCATGCCAAAGAACGCACCGAGAATCAACAATGTCAACAAAGGCCAGGCCGTGCCCCCTGGCGAGGTGTCGGGGGGCCTTGTGAAAAAGGTGAAAAAGCGTGTGAGAATAGGGAAAGGACAATTGGGACAATTGCGCTGAAATTGCCCACCCCCGACAGTGACTAAGGACTAAAGCGATGGACCACAAATTCGGAGTGGAAAGTAATTATCTCTTGCCCGTCAGTTTCATTTCTGTGTGGTACGTGTTATCAAAATTGTTTCAATATTCCCCCACTGATATGCTAATTTCATTGGCAGCAAAAATATATGTAGATGTGGTATATGGGGTATATGGGGTTTAGTAAACAAGACAGTGAATCACTTTGTTAAACAAGAATTAACATTTTATTATGAAAATCTTAAAATGACTTCAAATTAAATACACATACAATATACATACAATGATGAGCCAATTGGTCCTACGTAATATGATGAGCAAGTGGCAGTCTTAAAATTCAATAAATCCTAACTAAAACTATTTACACGTGATGTACATGATGAGTCTTAAAATATGCCTATCAGCCTAATTCTTTAGAGAATAAAAACAAGTCTGATTGAGTCCCTATGATGAAAGTTTTATCAGAAAATAATGAGATGTAAATACGGCCTTGTTATATCAGGAAAGATACGGCAAGAATTACATATCGGGATCACAGCTAGCTTGGACTTCCTGTGAGGAATTCATCTCCCACTTAAATTACAAAACTACAGCAATTTTAAGAACGGGTCCCCAAAAAATCTTCTAAATAGCGTAGAAAAGAAGATTGGAAAAACTATTCTTTACAGGAGGCATCCACATGATATGAAAATATCATTTGTATAGAGAGTTAAAAAATACTTAGATAAATACAAGTTAAGTCATAATATTAAAACTAAGAAAAAGATGTATAGACAATGTGTACGACATCCAGCACATATCATCAAGATATAACGTGGCACCAAATGAGTTCGGACGGATTGATTTTCTTTCCCCTTACATCTTTGCAATTCGCTCCTGAAGCGCCTTTAGTTCAGATGCAATTGCTGGGGGAAGGTCAGCTCCAACCTGGTTGTTGAAGTATCGTGCAATGTCCTCAGTCTGAAAAATACATTTAAAAAACTCACATTAGCATGGCAATAAAAATACACATAGCATAAAGATAAAATAGCATTCTTATTACTTTAATTTAAATCGAATCATAATTTTCTTTAACGCAAAACATCAGTTTAAAGAGCAAGGTATATGTCTCACCTCCTGGAGCCAGAAGTCCTTCGGCAGGCTAAAGAGCTGCTTCATGTCGACCTCTTCCTTGAGGCCGTCCAGGCGCAGCGATCCGGCGGTGGGCACGTAGCCGACGGGGGTCTGCTTCGCCACGCTCTCACCTTCCACTCGCTTGATGATCCAGTCGAGGACGCGGGAGTTCTCTCCAAAGCCGGGCCACAAGAATTTGCCCTGAACAAAACAATCCGAAATAAGCATATGGCTGTGTAGGTCACAGACAAGCAAGAAAAATGTAGAGTGGTGGTAGTGTTTTACTTACGTCGTTTCCCTTGCGGAACCAGTTGACATGGAAGACCTTAGGCAACTTGCGTCCGGTCTGCTCCATGCTCAGCCAGTGCGCCAGGTAGTGGCCGAAGTTGTAGCCGAAGAAGGGCCTCATGGCAAAGGGATCGTTCATGATCTCCTTTCCCTTGTGCTCGGCTGCGGCTGTGGCCTCGGACCTCATGGCGGCGCCCAGGAACACGCCGTGGCGCCAGGAGAGGGCCTCGTACACCAGTGGGACGCCCGCGGGCCGGCGGCCGCCGAAGAGGATGGCGTCGATGGGCACGCCCTCGCTGGCCTCCCACTGGGGGTCGATGATGGGGCACTGCGAGGCGGGCGAGCAGAAGCGAGAGTTGGGGTGTGCGGCGGGGGTGGCGCTGCCGCGGGTCCAGGGGTTGCCCCTCCAGTCGGTGATGGCCACATCAGCAGGGGTCTCGTCCTCCAGGCCCTCCCAGAAGACGCCGCCGTCGCTGGTCGCGGCGACGTTGGTGAAGATCGTGTCCTTGAACACGGTGTCCATGGCGTTGGGGTTGGTCTTCCTGGAGGTGCCGGGAGCCACGCCGAAGAAGCCGTTCTCGGGGTTGATGGCTCGGAGACGGCCGGACGAGTCGAACCTCATCCAGGCGATGTCGTCGCCCACGCACTCCACCTTGTAGCCCGGCAGGGTGGGCTGCATCATGGCCAGGTTGGTCTTGCCGCAGGCGCTGGGGAAGGCGGCCGCGATGTAGCGCTTCTGGCCCTGCGGGTTGGTGATGCCCAGCAGCAGCATGTGCTCGGCGAGCCAGCCCTCGCGGCGCGCGATGGTGGAGCCGATGCGCAGCGCCAGGCACTTCTTGCCCAGCAGCGAGTTGCCGCCGTAGCCGCTGCCGTACGAGACGATCTCGTTGTTGGCGGGCCGGTGCAGGATGATGGTGCGCTCCGGGTCGCAGGGCCAGTGCGCGTGGCGCGCGCTGCCGGACGCGGGCCGTCCCACCGAGTGCAGGCACTTGACGAACTCGGCCTGGGTGTTCTGCAGCAGGTCCAGGACCGCGGCGCCCATGCGGGTCATGACGCGCATCGAGCTCACCACGTAGGGGGAGTCGGTGAGCTCCACGCCCACCTTGGACAGCGGTGAGCCCACGGGCCCCATGCTGAAGGGCACGACGTACATGGTGCGGCCTGGCGGAGGAAAAGGGTTCATATAAGACGGGCGTGATTAACAGATGGCGGTTGGGTTATTAGCCGCGTGGAAAGATTCAGAGAGGCACACACTGCCGTATCGGAGGTTTTCCCTACTCACCCTTCATGCAGCCGGGGAAGCGGTCAGCGATGGCCTTGTCCATGTCACTGGGGGATATCCAGTTGCCCAGGGTCCCCACGACACCGGGGGCGGGCTCGGGGATGGTCTCGGACTTGGTCGGGGTGCAGATGAACGTCTTGCTCTCCACGCGGGCCACATCGGCCGGGTCGGTGCGGGCGAGCCAGCTGCACAAAGACAAAACACACACGTGAGGGACACGTCAAGGCGGCCGGATTGCAAACCGGAAGATTTCAAATGTTTTACGCCATAAGACTCACCAGTTGTCATATTTAGGCAGGGGCTGGATGGTGCCCTGGCGCTGCATGAGGGCGAGCAGGGCCTTGTTCTCCGACTCGGAGCCATCGCAGATGTGCACGCTGTCAGGCTGGCACAGATCCACGTGCCGCTGCACCCAGGTGCGCAGGCCGCCGTTCAGCTGGTCCCAGCTGCCGTGGCTCAGGCTGACGGCGCGCGCCTGCAGCTGCGCCTGCGGCTGGAAGCGGATCCCAAACGAGGGCTCCACCAGGCACTTCTTGGCATGCTTGGCGATGATGCTGGGGCATCTGCAAACAGAGGGAAGGGTGGACTGAGTTAGGCACCAGTTTGAACACAAACTACACAAACACGCCGACCAGGTGATCGGCGTGTAACGCGGGTCATCATAGACGCGACATTTATGACCGCGGGTGGGGCCCGGGGCGAAGCCGGGGCCGGGGGCCCAGCCCGGGGGCGGTCTGAGCCGAGCCGCGAGACGAGGGAAGCTCCCCCGGCCCGCGGCTACACCGCACCCAGCACCGCGGACCGCACCAACAGCCACACGAACAAACACACAAATACGAGGCGAGAGCACACTATATCTGCGACTGCGATGGGCGCCTAAATTATAATGATTCGCTGCAACACTAACACTAAAGTAAGGAGGGTGGACTTACTCTTCCTCGACGCCAGAGGAGATCCTCTTTTCATCGACGATACGGGTAGGCATGTTGGCGAACTTTGAGGACAAACTAACACTAGTTCTATCGAAAGCAAACGAGCTCGACACACAAGTAATCACACGCGACTCCAATTCGCACACTCTGTCTCAATGCGGTAACTTAATCACAAGTTTAAGGAAATTATCACAGACACAAACACAGCACTAAACGATGAATAAATTAGGAAGATTTGATAAAAATTCACGCTAATCACAAAGGCAAATGTTCGTTAAATGGTGCGTGAAATATATGGAGTCCTCCAAGCTCCCGCCGCGTCTTAAGTCTGCTGTCTTCCCCGCAGGCCATTGAAGTCTGAAGCTTGACTCTGCGAAGCGCCTCTTATATACAACGTTAGCTGAGCGGCACCCCCTCCCCGCCATCCCCTCCTATCCCCTCTCCCTTCCCCCGCCCCTGCCCGCACCAGGGTGGGGGGAGGCGAGCTCAGCGAGCTCCACGATGATGCCGTCGCCGGCGCAGCGGCCGGCGGCCGGCGGCCGGCCCGACCGCGGCGCGGGGGCAGGCACAGCATTTGAGGGAGGCTCCAAGTCCGCGCCGAGGGCAGAGTGCAAACAGATCGCCGCGAAACGGAGCGCGACCAAACAAAAAAAGTGTTTGCAGATTGATCTATGCATGGGGAAAAGTACCACCGGGGCACAGACTCCCACAGGGGCCTGACGGGCGGCGGGGGCGGGTTACATCATAGTCTGCTCACTGACGCTGCCATTTGCCGTCTCGATTTAGACAATGCGTGGGCGGTGCACATTGCAAAGGGTCGGGGTGAATATTACATACCAATCAACCAACCGATTCGCAACACACGTACCAGCATCACATGCACTAATAACATGTGCTAATGGTCTGCTTTGTGTGATGGAAGCGATTCGGCTGGTCAGGAGCAAGGAAAGGGCTGTCCTCCATTAAATGATCGAGTTTGAGAACCTTCCATTCGATTGCCCAGAATGCGTGACCCGAATGTGTGGAGCGTGGTAGCATCCAGCCCCGGCGCCCCCACCCCCGTGACCCCGGCCCGCCGGCGAGCAGGGCAAGGGCCTCTGGAAGGGCTCGTCGGCGGCTAGCCCCGCCTGCCCCGCCTTCCCCGCCTTACCCTGCCCCGACCTCCGACAAGCACAACGAAGCGCACCATCCCACGGGATGGAAAAGTACCACCGTCGGGACTGGAGGGCCGGGCCTCCGGGCCTGGGCCGGATGAGAGGGCAGGGGTGGGGCAGACAAACCCGGCCAGGATAGCGCCGGCGGGAAACCCTCCGCCTCTCGCGTCCGAGAGAAAAGGAGGCATCGATAAAGACGGACAAAGAAACTCGGCCTGTCCCCGCTATGAGCGTCTCGACGGTTTGGACCCGG